CATACACATACAATATAGTGTTACTTGGCAATGAAAAAGAATGAAATCTTGCCATTTGCAACTACGTGGATGGAACTAGAGGGTATTATGCTAAGTGAAATTAGTCAGAGGAACAACTATCATATGACTTGACTTATATGAGGACTTTAAGATACAAAACAGATAAACATAAGGGAAGGGAAGCAAAAATAATATAAAAACAGGGAGGAGGATGAAACATAAGAGGCTCTTAAATGTGGAGAACAGGAGGTTACTGGAGGGATTGTGGGAGGGGGCATGGGTTAAATGGTTAAGGGACATTAAAGAACCTACTCCTGAAATCACTGTTGCACTATATGCTAACTAACTTGAGTGTAAATTTAAAAAAAAAAAAAAAAGCAGATCACTGATATACCAAGCAACATGGATGAATCTCAAATGAATCTCAAAATAATTATGCTAGGTGAAAGAAATTAGACAAAATAAATGCTACATTCAGTATGATTCCATTATCTGAGATTCCAGAAAATGGGGCCAGAGGTGGAATTAGGGATGGACTGCAAGGGGCACAAGAAAAGTTTCAGAGGTAATGGAAATGTACTTACCTTGATTATGGTGGTGGTTTCATGAGTCATTACACCTATCAACAGTCACTGTGGAATGATGTCAGCAACACAGCCAAATAAGACATATGCCTCACTCACCACCCAACCCTCAAAAACAACAATCTGACATCCACCCATGAACAAAAGTGCCTTTGTTGGAGCTGTGTGATCCAGCATCATGCGCCAAGGAAACCAGAAGGAGACTTGCCTGGCAGGCAGGTAGTAGGCATAGGGGGCTCAGCCAGGTGTGGACCCTGTGATGGTCCATGAGCCAGTCCTAGCCCCACTCTGATCTAGTCCAGGAACTCCTAGAATTGTCTAAGACAATCCACCCATCAACAGGAGACTTTGTGGAAGTTTGGGGTTCTAGCTGAGAAGTCTAAACACACCACTGGGGCAAAATAATATAAGTTTGGATGTACTGGAGAGGGTAAGAGGAACAGTTTGACTTGCCTCACTCCTCCCCCAAGGTGGAAGAGCTCACTGCTTAAAGAGATCTTAGCCCATGATTTCTCCCACAGAGGAAAGTCAGAGTGTGTGAGTAAGCATCTACCTTTACTAGTTATGCAGACTGCTCCCAAAGAAGCCCATCTCTCTCTCACCCGATCTAGAGTATTGAGTCATAGCTGTATGACTGAGGAATGAGAAAAAGCTAAGAGTGGCAGACAGGACTCTTACAGGGGCATTATAGGACATAGATCCTACTAAATGTGCTGTAGACTCCATCAGGAAGCCTGCCCTCGGACCACTGGGGATACCTTGCCAGTGGATACTCCTAATTAACCCACAGGCAACCCTAGCATTCCACACACTCACACCCACAGGCCCCCACACTGTGCTTGGCTCCCTGTACATGCTCACAATGACAAGAGTGAGCATTGTCAAACAGCTAGTGAGCACAAGCAGAAAGCTGGTCCAAATCTATGGGTCAGAAAGAGACTGCAAACTTAAGCTCTAGCTACAAAAACCCCCAACAAACAAAAGTCCACAACCAGATGGTTTCACAGGCAAATTCTACCAAACATTTAGAGAAAAGTTAATATCCCTTCTTCTCAAAATGTTCCAAAAAATAGAAAAGGAAGGAAAACATCCAAATTCATCCTATGAAGCTAGTATTGCCCTAACAACAAAACCAGATAAAAACACCACTTAAGAAGAGAACTACAGGCCAATATTCCTGACAAATGCAAAATTTCTCAAATAAAATACTAGCAAACCTAATCCAACAATACATTAAAAACAAAATTCACCATGATCAAGTGAGATTTATTCCTGGGTTGCAAGGATGGTTCAATATTTGCAAGTCAATCAACAAGATACATCACATTAATAAAAGAAAGGATAAGAACCACATGATCACATCAATAGATTCAGAAAAACCATTTGACAAAGCACAACATCCATTCATGATAAAAAACCTCAACAAAGTAAGCTTAGAGGGAACATATCTCAACATAATAAAGGCCATGTATGAAAAACCCACAACCAACATACACCCAATGGTGAAAAACAGAGCTTTCCCCCTAAGATCAGGAACAAGACACAGATGTCCACTCTCAACACTTTTATTCAACATAGTACTGGAAGTCCTAGCCACAGTAATCAGATAACAAAAGGAAATAAAAGGCATCCAAATCAGTAAGGAAAAAGAGAAACTTTCACTATTTGCACATAACATGATACTATAGATAGGAAACCCAAAAGAATGCACACACACACACATACACACACCCACACACACACACACTAAACCCCAAAAAACTGCTAGAACTGGTAAATGAATTCAGTAAAGTCACAGGGTACAAAATCAACATACAGAAATCTGTTACATTTCTATATACCAATAATAAGGCAGCAGAAAGACAAACTAAGGAATCAATCCCAATCCCATTTACAATTGCACCAAATCAATAAGGTACCTAGGAATAAATCTAGTCAAAGAGATGAAAGCCTCTACTCAAAATACTGATGACAGAAACTGAAGTGACACAAAGAAATGGAAAGATATTCCATGCTCATGGATTTGAAGAAAAAATATTGTTAAAATGTCTATACTCCCCAAAGCAATCTATACATTTAATGCAATCCCTATCAAAATACCAACAGCATGTGTCACAGAGTTAGAACAAACAACTGTAAAATGTATGGAACCACAAAAGATCCTGAGTAGACAAAGCAACCTTGAAAATAAAAAGCAAAGCTGGAGATATCATAATTCTGGACCTCAATTTCTATTAACCAAAGCTGTAATGATCAAAACAGTATGGTACTGGCACAAAAATAGATACATAGATCAATGTAACAGAATAGAAAACCCAGAAATGAACCCCCTACAATATGGTCAATCAGTCTTTGACAAATCAGGAAAGAATATCCAATGGGAAAAAGACTGTCTCCAATAAATGGTGCTGGGAAAACTGGATGGCAACATGCAAAAAAATGAAACTAGACCACTTTTTTATAGCATACACATAAATAAACTCAAAATGGATTAAAGTCCTAAATATGAGGCAGGAAACCATTAAAATTCAAGAAGAGAGCACAGGCAGTCACCTTTTTGACATCAGCTGTAGCAACTTCCTTCTAGATATGTCTCCTAAGGTAAGGGAAACCAAACAAAAAAATAAACTATTGGGACTACATCAAAATAAAAAGTGTCTGCACACTGAAGGAAACAATCAACAAAACTAAAAGGCAACCCCTGAATGGGAGGAGATATTTGTAAATGATGTATCTGGTAAAGGGTTTGTATCCAAAATACATAAAACTCAACACCCAAAAAATGAATTATCCAATTAAAAATGGGCAGAAGATATGAGCAGACATTTTTCCAAAGAGATATTCAGATGGCTAACAGACACATGAAAAGATGCTCATCATCACTTATCACCAGGGAAATGCAAATCAAAAGCACAATAAGATATCATATCACACATTAGAGTGGCTAAAATCAGAAACACTAGAAACAACAAGGGCTGGCAAGGATGTGGAGAAAAAAGAGCCCTCATGCACTGTTGGTAGGAATGTAGGTACAACCAATTTCTTCAAAAATTTAAAGGCAGAAATGCCATATGTCCAATAATTCTACTATTGAATATTTATCCAAAGAAAGTAAAAACACTAATTTGAAAAGAGAAATGCACACCTATGTTTACTGCAGCATTATTTACAATAGCCAAGATATGGAAGCATTGTAAATGTCCATCAATAGACAAGTAGGTAAGGAAAATACAGCAAACATATAATGGAATATTACATAGCTATAAAAGATGAGACTGTGTTATTTGAGAAAACATGGATGGACCTAGAGGGTATTATGCTAAGTGAAACAAATCAGACTGAGAAAGACATGTACCATATGATTCCACTCATAAGTGGAATGCAAAAAAACTGAATAAGTAAATAAAAAGCAGAATCAGACCTATAAATACAGAGAACAAACTGATGGTTGCCAAAGGGGAGTGGCATGGGGGGTTGGGCAAAATGGGTGAAGAGGAGAAGGGGATACAGTTCCAATAAGTGGAATACATATATATGTATATGTATACACACACACACACAATTTAATATTCAGCTACAAGAAAGAAAGAAATCCTGCCATTTGTGATAGCATGGATGGATCTTAATGGCATTATGCTAAATGAAATAAGTCTGACAGAGAAAGACAAATACTGTATGATGTCACATACAGAATCTAAAAAAGTCAAACTCAGAAACAAAGAGGTGGTTGCCATGGACTGGGGGAGGGGGCGAAATGGAGAAATGCCAATCAAAGGATGTAAACATTCGGTTATAAAATGAATAAGTTCTGAGGATCTAATGTACAGCATGGTGACTATAGTTAACAACATGGTATTATATACTTAAAAGTTACTAAGTCAGTAGGGGAGCCTGGGTGGCTCAGTGGGTTAAGCATCTGACTACTGGTTTCAGCTCATGTCATGATCTCATGGTTCATGAGCTTGAGCCCTGTATTTGGCTCTGTGCTGACAGTGCAGAACCTACTTGGGATTCTCTCTCTCTGCCCCTCCCCTGCTGTCACTGTCTCTGTCTCTCTCTCAAAAAAAACAAAAAACAAAAAACAAAAAACAAAAAACTTGTTAAGATAGTACATTTTAAACGTTTTCACCGTAAAAAAGAAATGTTAATTATGTGAGGTAATGGAAGTGTTAACTAACACCACTGTGGTAGTCATTTTGCAATATACAAGTATATCAAATCATCATAGTATATACACCTTAAACTTATACATTATGTCTCAACTGTATCTCATTAAAGCTGGAAAAAATTCATTGTATTATATACTTTGAGTGGGTGCAGTTTATTGTATATAAATGTCACATCTATTAAGTTGTTTTTAAAAATTGCAATGGAAAGATCATCTTTATTCAGTTAAAGGGAGGATAAAAGACTTACCTGGATTTGAAACAACAAGTATCTTACAGTCAGGACTATGACGAACTATGGTAGGAATGATTGATTTCATAATGTTCACATTACGTTGGACCAGGGCAAGGCGACTTTCTCCCTCCTGCTGCCGTGCACCTGCCGTGACAATAACTAATTTGGAGTTTGCAGATACACTGTAATCTAAAAAGGAAACAAAAGGCAATACTTGGATCAAGAATGCCACAATTACTGTGCCTTACTTCTTTCACAGTGTTTGCAGATGAACAGACTTTCCATGAAGGAGGCCTTGTCACTGTGATTTACCCGTTTTCACATGTTTTTAAACAATAATAAATCCGACCAACCCTTTCAGCTCACATTCTCATTTCTTATTAAGGCCTGAGTCAATGCAAGTCAACTCTCTCTGGCTCTTACAAACACCTTATGAAGCTTAGAACTCTGAGAATTTATATGTCTGTTTCAAGATTCTAAGGATGAGGATGTATTCACTTCTAATTATTATAAGGGACTAGATTTGAGATCACAGAGAAGTTCTTGATCCACACAAGAAGGTAAACAACTTTGTAAGTCTGATGACCAGTCACAAAATTGTTTCACCTTTTAAACCTAATGATAATATGATATGATGCTCATTATCCCATACTGGACTTTTAAAAAGGTATTATATACCTGGAAGTTATCTTCCATATGGATGCAAAAAATTAAATAAACTAAAATCTACATATCCCATTTATATTTTAAAAAAAACTTTAAGAAACCTGAAAAAACCCTATTCTATGCTTTTTAATTTTTTAAATAGTTTATTGTCAAGTTGGTTTCCATATTAATTTTTAAAGTTTATTTTTTTTTAGTAATCTCTACATGCAACTTGGGGTTTCAACTCACGACCTTGAGATTAAGAGTCCCATGCTCTTCTGGCTGGGTCTGCAAGGTGACCTTATGCTCTTTTAAAAAAGGAAATCTGTTTCATTTTAAAGACATATTTTCATCTCCATTTATGGTCATTTCATAATTTTCTAATATAAAAGAGATCATTTATAAACCACAAACATTTTAATGTTTTCCTTGTCTCAGTAAAGATTTTAACTAGAAAGACAAACTTAGACGACATTTTTTAGGCTGACATGTTTCACATTAATCTAAGAAATTATCTCTCCTTTGTATCAAGTAAAAAATATAGAAGGAAGTTCTTTCCTCTCTGCACACAGTCTACTCATTTTGCTCAAAGAGCTTGCTCGATGGGTCATCTTCTGTAAAATCTTATCTAACCATAGAAATCCAAAATAATCTCTCAATCTCTCTCTCTTTCCCCATCTCTCTTTCCCTCCTTCCTACCCCCCTCAACTTTTAGAGGATAAATGGGCCCAAAAAAACCTTACAGCTTCTTCAGAGTCGTCTCTCCATAGATCAGATGATTTGAAATCTTATGATGTTCAACAAATATAGTTAAAGTGCATGCCAAAGTAAAATACCAAGTCTTCTCATAATCTGCCTCCAAATTATCATACTAGCTTTGTGTCTTAGTTTTATGTCAGATTTTCCAGGTGTCCTGATTCTGTTAATGCCATCGTCTCCCTACCTGTTACTTATTTTTCCTTTCTAAATATAACTCACTCCTCCAAGAGACAGCAAACCATAATGGTCTGTAGCAAAGCCTCTGAGGTCCAACTGTCTATATCCTGATTCTGCCACTTCTTAGCTGTGTGACCCTGGACAAGTATTTTGCCTGTTCCTCTGACCCATAGATCCTCATCTGCAAGATCGAGCTAATAATAGTTTGTTTCATATCATTCTTAAGATGATTTAGTGAGTTAATATACAAAATGTACTCAGAGCAGTGTCTATCAAATGTTCAATAAATGTCAACAATTATTGTTGTTATTAGTTAAGTACTTTTTCAAATACCGATTCCTCCACTAGGCATCTTCTAATCGTATCATTCATAAATACTACTCTTACTTGACTGAATTTTTATAGCACTTCCTGCCTATAATTCTCAAATAATCCTTAATATAATGCCTTCTGTTATCTTTCCATGGTTATGTCATACTTACATTCTTAACTTGATCATAAGCTCCATAATAACAGGTTCCGATGACATATTCCTCCCTTTCTTTCACAAATATAGCACCTTCTGTGTTCCCAGCACTTGGACTCTGTGTTCAAACTATTGTACATATGAGGCAATTAAAAACATCTTGAAAATCAATAACATCCCATTGCTCTTTGTCATTAGAGCTCACTAAATGTATTTTCAAAAGCACCCTGTTGTGAAATACATCATTCACACAGAGTAAGGTTTAAGAAACATATGTTCAATTTTAAAAATGTTAAAGTTGAGAATAGCTGCATGAAAGGATGTTTGGGGCTGCAAAGTAGTGGCCCTCGCTCCTGGGTCACAAGAGCACTGTGCTCGCCACAGAAGCAAGGATCCAGGACCAGTGTGGGGAAAAGGACCATCATCTCTAGAGGGCTATCTCAAGAAACAAGCCAAAGTACACATGGTGGAGAGTCCCAAATACCACTACGAGTAGGGAAATAAAATAACCAAAGTCTCAACAAGAGAAACCAAGAGACACCATTCAAAGAACACTTCCTGAACAGACAGGCCCTGGACAGTCAAACAGCCCACTTTAATACAGCAGCACCCACAAGGGCAGAGTGCATAACAAGCTTTTAAAATTAACAAGAGATAGAAAGCTAACCAAAATGATGAAACAGAAGAACTCTCCAAAGAAATTCCAGGAAGAAATGACAGCTAAAGAACTGCTCAAAACAGATATAAGCAACATAACTGAACAAGAATTTAGAACAATAGTCATAAAATTAATTGCTGGGCTTGAAAAAGGTATGGAAGACATCAGAGAAACTATTGCTACAAAAACTGTGGAGCTTAAAAATAGTTGTGATGAATTAAAAAATGCTATAAATGAGATACATAATAAAATGGAGGCATCCAATGCATGGATTGAAGAAGCAGAAAGGAGAATAAGTGATTTAGAAGACACAATTACAGAAAAAGAGGAAGCTGAGAAAAAAAGAGATAAGCTGATCCAGGAACACGAAAGGAGAGTTTGAGAACTCAGCGATACAATCAAACAGAACAATATCCGTATCATAGGAATCCCAGAAGAGGAAAAAAGAGGGAAAGGTGCCGAAGGAGTCCTTGAACAAACTATAGCAGAGAACTTCCCAAATCTGGGGAAGGAAATAGATGTTGAAGTCCAAGAGGCACAGAGAACTCCCCTCAGATGTAACTTGAATTGATCTTCTGCACGACACATCATAGTGACACTAGCAAAATATAAGGACAAAGAGAGAATTTTGAAAGCAGCTAGGAATAAAAGGGCCCTAAAATACAATGGGAAACTTATCAGAATGGTGACAGACCTATCTACTGAAACTTGGGAAGCCAGAAAAAAATGGCAAGAAATCTTCAATGTTATGAACAGAAAAATATGCAGCCAAGAATCCTCTATCCAGCCAGCCTGTCATTCAGAATAGAAGGAGAGATAAAAGTCTTTCCAAATAAACAAAAATTGAAAGAATTTGTCACCACTAAACCAGCCCTACAAGAAATCCTGAGGGGGACTCCATGAGGCAAATGTTGCAAGGAACACAACATACCAGAGACACCACCATAAGTATAAATCCCACAGAGGACACGATGACTCTAAACGCCTATTTTTCAATAATGACACTGAATGTAAATGGGCTGAATCTTCCAATCAAAAGACACACGGTGGCAGAATGGATAAAAAAACAAAATCCATCTATTTCCTGTCTACAAGAAACTCATTTTAGACCTGAGGTACCTTCAGATTGAAAGTAAGGGGACGGAGAAATATATATCATGCTACTGGAAGTCCAAAGAAAGCTGGAGTAGCTATACTTATATCAGACAAACTGGACTTTAAAGTAAAGACAGTAACTGCTTGAGAGTCTCTCTCTCTCCTTCTCCTTCTGTCCCTCCCCCACTCATGTGTGGTCTCCCTCTCTCTCTAAAAAAAAAGAAAAAAGAAAAGAAAAGAATTTGCATTCCTTTAAAATATAAACATAAATCTGACATGTCTTCTTTGGAAATTTCTATATAAATTAAAAACAATTTTTTTATGTTTTATTTATTTCTGAGAGAGAGAGATTGACTGCATGAACAGGGGAAGGTCAGAGAGAGAGGGAGATACAGAATCTGAAACAGGCTCCAGGCTCTGAGCTAGCTGTCAGCACAGATCCCGACGCGGGGCTCGAACCCACGAACCATGAAATCATGACCTTAGCCAAAGTTGGACACTTAGCCGACTGAGCCATCCAGGCAGCCCTATATAAATTTTTAAAGTATGTGTGGCAAAGATGGTATAGAAAGAAAGAAATGTATTAACTCTGAAACATTTAACTTAACACATAAATTGAGTTATGCCTCTAGACTCAACAAACATTTATTCCTATTGTATCAACATAGACATGAGGCAAAGGGAAAACAAATAAATTACCTGAGTTATGCAATGATCTAGTGCTTGAATCAAAATGAAAATCCTTTCATTTGGGACTCATTATCCTTAAATGGGGTAGTGACTTACTCTATGTGAAATCTATTCTTCCTAGAACAATTCATTGACACAGTGTTATAAAGATAGCCTTCATAGTGGCACCCACCCAACTCCAGAGGGTAGAATGTCCTTTTGTGATTTTATTGTTTTTTGTAGTTTTTCTTTTGTCTTGTTTCATTTTGTTTTTGTTTTGCAAATAAAAGAAAACTAACTTTTCAAACTAAAAAAATAAAAAATAAAAAAAAAATAAAGACAGTAACAAGGGATGAAGAAGGGCATTCTATAATAATTACAGGGTCTATCCACCAGGAAGAGCTAAATTATAAATGTCTATGCACCGAATACGGAAGCACCTAAATACATAAAACAATTAATCACAAACAGAAACAAGCTTAGGGACAAGAATGTGATAATAGCAGGGGACTTTAATACTCCACTTACAACAATGGATAGATCACCTAGACAGAAAATCACTAGAGAAACAATGGACTTGAATGACACATTGGACCAGATGAATTTGACAGATATATTTAGAACTCTACATCCTGAGGCCATGGAATTCACTTTCTTCTCAAGTGCACACGGCACATTCTCCAAGATAGATCACATACTGGGACATAAAGCAGCCCTCAA